GCATTCTGTCAGGGGAAAGGCTACAGCTTTCTTTGACCTTGTATTTAGATCAACTTGCAGTTGTCTTTTCTAAGCTCTGCCTAGGGTTTGCAGTGGTTTAAAGCTCATCTCTGTGCCTGGTATGAGTGATATCCTTAAGAAATTTCTTATCTCACGTAAATTGGTTCTTTATAGTAACCTACAGACTGTTGTGTATCTTTACAGTGATCAAAGAATAATCGAAGTAATCATTGACAAATCATAGGGAAAAGCGATCTCTCGTAGGAGTAGCTGTGGTGTTTTGTGCTAGCTTTTCTTGAAATGATACCATTAGACTTTCCACTTTTGCTTCTAGTAAAGAGGTTTTGACTGGTTTGGCTAACGGAAAGACTTCATCAGGCTATTGGCTCCTTTTAGAAGTTACATAATGCTTCCTCTTTACTCACATTATGAGTTTTCTGCAGTTTTGCGTTTTTTAGTATTTTAGCCTCCCATGAGGATTTCTAAGCTTTACTATAATATGTATAGTTTACCTTGAGGTAAAATAAATTAAAAATACTCTTTCAGGCCAACACGCTAAAACTTAAGACTTTCCCTCACCCATGTACCATAGAGCCTGCCTTTTTGCTTGGGTCATAGGAAAAGGTCAAAAAGCTGTATTGTGACCTTTTTTTTGCATAAAATATTCAGAGGAAAGGATTTTAATGCTGAAGGAGCATATATTGCATTAAGTGGGATTCACCTTTGAACTGTGGTAGTGGAAAATAGGTATTCCTTTTAGTCCCCTTACATACCCGTTAATTACTTTGAGAATTCGGCTGTCCTGCACATGTGCTTGTAGTCAGTTATTGTGGGATGGTTACTGTACACTTCTTTTTGAAAGTTGTGTTGCTAGCCTGCTCTTCTGTCAAAGAATGAAGTGAAAATAGCATGGAAATTATGCTGGGCAGGTTTGTCCAGTGTGTTTGTGCTATGTTCTAACTAGCAGAAGCTTAAGATTTTTTTTAAATTACAGTTTAAAGACTTCTTACAGGAAAACATGCATTATGTTCTTTCCTCTTTCTTTTGAAGCTCTGACCTCTGGGCCCTGGGATGTATAATATATCAGCTTGTAGCTGGATTGCCTCCGTTTAGAGCTGGGTAAGAGATTTAAGCTAATTCTTTACACATGGATCATAAATATATTGACTTGGTTTTGGCTTTTCCTTACTACCAGTCCTGAAGTACAACTTCTCATGGTGCAGTGTTGGTGTTAATGTCATGCCTGCTTTTATTTGTCCTTTCTGATGTCATGAAGATGCTTAGACAGCTGTAACTGAGAGAGATTCCTTAATGGATCCTAGGATTTCATCTGTAATTTTTACCAGAAAGGTAACTGTGCCTACATGAGGAGGGTATGAGGCACCTCTGTACTGAGCCGTTTGACCTTTTCTTGTTGCTATTAAAGTATCTGGTGCTTACAGGGTCATGGATACTTTGAATGCTGTACCCCTTTACCCTGGAAAGATTTATGGGAATGTGACTTAACTTGTAGATCTCCCATTTAGTATTTGTCCACATTCTGCACTGTTAAGGTGAAAGAACCATGGAGAACTAATAACAAGAGCTAATATTTTTCTCTTTTCAGAAATGAATATCTTATATTCCAGAAGATAATAAAGTTGGAATATGACTTTCCAGAAAAATTTTTTCCCAAGGCAAAAGACCTTGTTGAAAAGCTATTGGTAAATATTTGCTGCTGTTAAATAATTTGATGATATTGGAAACATTCAGCTTACGTAGTTCCTTTTTTTTCCCTAAAGTTTCTATGCACTCTACTGCAAACCTTATAGTAAGAGCTGTGAGCATTGTTGAATGCGTGGGGGAGTGTCTTGAAAATCAACATCCATTATTAAACAGCACTTTTATTATTTTTTTAAAGCTGGATTCTAAAGTGTGGACAAAGAATGTCTCTCAGTGAAATAGAAGCAAATTGTTCTAAATACCAAGCGTTACACACGACTTAAGATTCAAATACTTAGGTTTACACAGTACTCGGATTAATTCTTGTTGAGTTGTATAATGAATCGTTTAGTTGAAAACAGTGGTCTATACATCATGGGGAGATACATTCATTACAATGTAAATCAACTTACTTTTAGTATGCACTTACCTTGCACTTAATGCGTGTCTCAGTAGTATCAGCCAAAGAATTACTCTACATGTGAATGTTTGACAGATAGGGGAAAAAAAGGAGTTGTCTTGTCAGTGCGCTACAGCTGTGACACTAAAGTGGATATGCAGAGAACAGTTCTGGGTAGTATAAGCTTTTTGAAGTTTCATGGTCCAGTGTATTAGCATGTGGTGGGGGGTGGGGAGGAAACTGTCTTATGTTTGTGGGTGATGAGTGCGGCAGTTGTAAAGGGCCTAGCAGCACGTTCCTCTGTCCAGGCCAGCTCCAGGGCCAAGCCAGTGCCTGCTGAATGGTAAGGGCCAGGTTGTGTCAGCATCCCAAGAACTGCACAGTTTTAGGGTGCTTGAGAGGTTAATGTTTGACACCAACTATAGATTCCACAGCTTCTTGCATCACTGGGATGTGATGCTGGGCTGTGCTTAAATGAGCTGTGCTCCATCAGGCCTTATCTGTGCATTTCCTTGGTTTCGTCTCTGTCTTTATGAAGAAATAAAGCCAAAAAAAAAAGCAGACCCAAGGAAGTGCTCCTTTCTCTAGATCTGTGAGCTGGTCTATACAGAATGTCGCTGACAAGACATACTGACAAACATCTTGTGTTATAATTGCTCTCCTTATATTCTGGATAAGTATGCTTAGGGCAGTGAGACCAACTGCTTTTGGTTTTGCACGCTGCTGCGCAAATGTGAATGGTGCTTGCCTCTTTCTTGTCACTAATTTATGCACGCTAACTTAACTGTAACTTGCTCAGGTTCTAGATGCCACCAACAGATTAGGTTGTGAAGAAATGGGAGGATATGGACCCCTTAAGGCTCACCCCTTCTTTGAATCCATTGTGTGGGAGAACCTGCATCTTCAGACACCCCCAAAACTTACCGCGTATTTACCAGCTATGTCAGAAGATGATGAAGACTGTTATGGAAATGTATGTTTATCTATTGCTACATTCAGCTCTGATGCTGTCTGAGACTTTCATTAAAGTGTAATTATTGCATATTAAGTATTTTTATTGAAACCTCTGATTAGTTAATATTTTAATGAGGATTCGATTATTAAGAATCCAATACAAAATTGCTGGTTAAAATTTGAACTAGTCATCAGGATTTTTTTCTGCTAAAGCAAGTGTTTGGAAAAAATACTGGTTGGCTTGCTTTTGACCACGCATGCTTTTTTGGATAAGTGCCTGTCAATTTATAGAGAGTAGGCTATCTTTTTGCCCAAAAGCATGCTTAAATTAAAAGCCTCAGTTTGGTCCAAAATAAGCTTTTTAATCTTTACTCATTTTGTTCCCTCCTCTAGTATGACAATCTCCTGAGTCAGTTTGGTTGTATGCAAGTTTCTGGTTCTGCCTCTTCCCATTCACTGTCTGCCCCAGAGACAAGTACACCACAGACGTCAGGAGGAAATATTGAACAGTATATTCATGATCTCGACAACAATTCCTTTGAGCTGGACTTACAGTTTTCTGAAGATGAAAAGAGGTTACTTTTGGCAAAGCAAGCTGGTGGAAATCCCTGGTAAGATCTTTGAATATAGCTCACCCGTTACTGGCACAGCAGTAAGGAATCTAGAGAAATAAGTAATTTTGATTCAAATGAATATTTGTCAATCTAAATATCTTCAAGCAAACAATTAGAAACTACATTTTTCTTGACTTTTATTTTTAAAGCAATAGCAGCAAAAACCTAATCCTATGTTTTGAAAATTCACAAGGTCTAGAAGGTGTTGTGGAGTATGTTTATAAGACAGTCAGAAATGACACTGTGCCAGTGCTGAGAAGTCTTCCCTCTACAGAGTCCTGGAACCAGAAGAGGTTCACTCTTTCTTACAGTTGTCATAATCTGGTTTTTTTTGAATGATAATATCCTGTTGCTCTCTAACAAGCATCCCTCCAGACCGTGTACTTATTGGCATCTCTCTTCACTCTTGAGAGGAGTTTCTCATTTGTGATTTTTTTTTTTTTTTTCCCCCCCCTTGTCAGATTTTAGAAAACATTCTGGCATGGAATGAGGAAGAGTCCAAAGCTCACCTAGTACAGTTGTTCAGGACTCTTCGGCAGAAAAGGAGACGCTAGGGAGAGACATGGAAAAATGCTTGTTGATAAATAATAATAAAAGCTGTTTCTGTGGAAGAGTTACTTCTGGAGTAATAGTTATTTTTCTTTTTCTTAAGGCATCAGTTTGTAGAAAATAACTTAATCCTAAAAATGGGTCCAGTGGACAAAAGAAAGGTAAGGGCTTTTCTTAATTCCCTGTAACAGGATTCGGCTGTCACATTTTTTCACAGTTGCAGCATAGATAAGGAACCTGTTCTAGAGCTTTCCTGTTTAACTTGTTTGTAAGTGTCAATTGGGTTTGTTTATTTTTTAAAATGTAGTGTTTTCTTGTGAATTGATTGTTTTTTTCTTAATTTAGTGGTGTGCTCTTGATTTTTGGAAGAGGCTAAAAGTAAATGTGCTATTAATGCTTTCACTTTGAGATTGTAGTAAAGGAGTTTTGTTCCCTCTCCTCCTCCCGATCTGATACAGCCCACTAAACGCTTAGGCTTGATGCATGTCTGCATGTGGATCGAGCCACAAATATCGGAAGATAAAATAGAAGCCCCTGTTGTCCTTAACTGTGGTGTTTTTCCTGGATCTGACTAGTGCCTGTATCTGGAGAGGGGCACAGGTGACATTGGAACAGCCTTGGGTGTTGGCTTTAACATGGTACAGATGAGCAAGAACAGTCGGTTCTCTTTTCATCTGAATGCAGGTTCTTTTTTCATCTGAGTTACACTTGCTTGGTCCTCACTTTCTCCACAGAATCATGAGTGGTGCTTTCTGTGCTGGAACCTTTGACAAACAGATTTTGCTTCACTCTGTACAGCTAGTTGTTTCATATTTTGTTAGAACTTGAAGATGCTTTCTTAAAGTAGTACTTGTGTTCTGCCATGTAGGAATGCATTACAACCCCCTGAAAAATGAGCGAGGTCAAATAGGTAAAGCAAAGGAAAAAAAGTCACCCAAACTCAACCATAGTGCTCCACCACTGAGCTATTTTGTTTCAACCACTGCTGTTAAATTCAGAGATCTACGCATTTACATTTTTTTCCTCATGCTTTTTTTGCATTGCTGCTTCTAATTTTCACATTAGGGGTTGTTTGCACGTCGGCGCCAGTTGCTGCTCACAGAAGGGCCCCACCTGTATTACGTGGATCCTGTCAATAAAGTCCTAAAAGGAGAAATTCCGTGGTCTTTAGAGTTGCGGCCAGAAGCCAAGAATTTTAAGACATTTTTTGTTCACACAGTAAGTGACTTTTTAAATTTCTTTAAGTTGCACTAAGGTCCTTGGACAATTATTGTAAGTTGTTAACAAGTATTTCTGGAGAAAATAGAATTCCTTAAATACAAGTGTTGATAGCCTTAATTTAAAAACAAACAAACAAAACCCCAGCCCCCCAAACCAAAAGACCCCTGATGTATGCATTTCCCACAAAAATGCAAGTATGTGTTTTATTGTTCATGTGTAAATAAACTGTGAGTGGATTTGGGGATTTGAAGGAAATTCTTAAGAAGGACTTTAAAATTTAGCCCTCCCCATGCATAGTGGATCAGTGATCGTAGCAGTGATGCACTGCCAGTTGCCTTTTGGCTGCTTAACAGTGTTGAGGTGCCAGATACGTGGTCATTCAGTAATATATAGTCTTGTAGAACTGTAAGTGTATTTAACTTCTGGAGAGTTTATGAGCTGATTGTGAATAATTATTTTATTGGTAGGTGCAGAATAATTACTGCTTTTTGATTACGCTGTGTTTGGAGTACTCATTAAATGTTGTTCACTTATAGCCAAACAGGACATATTACCTGATGGACCCGAGTGGGAATGCTCATAAATGGTGCAAAAAGATACATGAAGTTTGGCGGCACAGATACCACCAGAATGCTGCTAAATAGTAAAGCTCATCCAAACTTTCCCAGTTTCCCTACTTGCTGCTAGAACTCCGTGTGCAGCCGATCAGAGGAATCTTTTCAACCCACCTATTACCATCTCAAGGGGAAGCATATGTCTGAAATGTTCTGTTCTGTTTTGTTTTGTTTTTTAAAAAGAAAGAAAAAAAGAAAAGCAAAAACCTAATGGAATTCAGGGTCGCTTTGCTCGCTCTTTGTGCTTCTGTTGAGGCTTCCACACGCATATCATTGCAGTGAAGATCTTGCTTTTGTGCACTTCAGCTCAATTTCTGCTGCAGACTAGTGGATAGACCTTGCGTTACCGGCTTCACTTAAGACGAGTTAAAACCAATCCACACGCACACATGCCGAATCATGTACCAGCCTTGCGTCTGACGGGGCTGGAGTTTTCTGTGACTCTCAGATTATCATTAAACTGTATTTCATCAGGGAGCTTTTATATGCCTCTCCTCAGCACCACCTCTTTGGTTTCTCTTACTTTCCTCACAGCCCCCCAGCTTATTGGTAAATGGCATTTGCAGCCAGGTCAGTTGCACCCTTGTGTAATTCCTAATACAATTCTGGTTGCAGGATTTATGTGGTACTTTAGTAACTATGTGAATGAATCAGATGTGTGTGTCTGGCAGACAGGCTCCAAGGATACTGGTTGTGAGAGAGTAAAATGCTGAACATGGCACTGAAAGTTTTCTAAACCCAAAATGTTGGCTTCTGAAGCGTACAAGATTTTAAATGTTCAACTTAAATTTTAATATGAATCATATGTGTGTTTAATCAAGGGACAATAAACTTACCAGCATGCTTTTAACTAATGCTAACTAAAAAAATTAACTAGTTAGTATGGGGGGATAAAAGGTTACTATTGAAGTAGTAAATAGTTGTTCACCTTTCAGGAGACGAGGGCTAGGAGCTTTCTTTCCAGGGTGTGCATGTACTGTGCATTGTAGTGGGGCCAACCTATTTACCTGGGTAGAGAAGGAAGTGTGAAAGCTTTGTACAATTGATGACTTTTTTTTGTCTCATTGTATAATGAGATCTACAAATAATCCTATTTTTGGTCTTGGCCAAATGTTTAGCAACTGAAAAAAAACTTAAGCCATTGAAAATGAGGTCTGTAACATAATCTGGTTAAAAACTCAAAGGAAAACATTGATACAAAGGGGAAAACAGATGGTACTTAAGGCATATCTGTAAAATGGAAATGTTTGTCATATCAGTCTCCTGTATCCTCTTCAAATTAAGGCTTTTTTGTGGTCAAACATTTCTTGTAATGTTGCAAAGACATAACCTTCTATGTGCTAAAAACAACTTCCTGAATGGTATTTTCAGTACGCCCGTGTTCCTGAGCCGTGCAGAGAGGGATGACCTAGGCCTGGACAAAGGCATTCCTTCCTTGGCTTAAAAGCAGTATAAACATCACACCTATTTATCCACCTTCTACACATACCATCTCTGTGATTTGAGCTCTCCTACTACGATGTGCTTTTCCTTCCACCAAAGAAAGAAACGTTCCACTGCAATGTTGGAAAAACTCGTGGGCTGCTGTTCCAGAAGGAGTGTTTTAAAAGCAGTGGCCCATCAAGATTTCTCAGAAAACACGTGAGTGTTGGGTATTTTGTTGGTACACGGCGTGAAGGAGATTTATTACTGATCTCTTAAAAGCTGTGTTACGTGGTCGGACTTGATGACAGTTCAGCTTCTCCAGTACCATTCAGTCTTTGAAGAAGAAAGTGCAGTTGCCTTTCCTTTTGGAGGAGCTCCATCCCTGTAGCCCTCTGTTTACCCCACTGTGTACACAGGCCTGACAGAAGTAAATCACTGGCATACAGCACCTGGTGTTAAGGGAGCCAAGGTGTCCTGTATGTGGCTGAGGTGGGAAGGACAGAACACCATTCTTTTCTGCATCGTGAGAAGTTTCATCCCATGCAAGGTACACTCCTTGTCGCTAAAATTCAAATAGCATGGTGCACCTTCCGTCTGTGCCTGTGCGAACCCTGTGCTTCGCATTCTAACAAGAGGATGTGTACTGTCAGTTCATTGCAGCGCTGTCTGCCTGTTCCTTGGCTGTCCGACCCCAGCTCCGTGTTGGGCCCACTGGAAGCAACCCTACTGCTTTTGGATTGAGCCTTTGGTGTGGAGATGCAGGTGTGTTCCCAACTTTATACAGGAGAGTTGCATTCGTGGTGCCACTGCTGTCTCGTGTGACAGAACCTGGCCTCATAAAGAGTCTGGCAAAGTTGTTCTGCTGATAGCGAACAGGTTAGCTTTGTTAGGAGAGGGGGTGGCCTCCGCTGGCTGTTCACTAGGTGGAGATCCAGGAATGCTCAAATGTTCTCTATAAGGTTTAGACTTGCAGTCATTTTGCTATAACAAAGCAATTGCTCTGCTTTTCCACACCTTGAAAATCCTCTCAGACTTCGTCCTGCCTGCCAAAAGCTTTCAGCCGAAGAACCCTTGATAGCAGGAAGCTATCCACAGGTGTCTGGAAGGCTGGTGGCTGCGTTCTAGTATTCCTTTTTTCTTTTGACAGTGCTACCATTAGATAAATGGTGAGCATCTCTTAACAGGCATCCCTCCCGCAGCGCTTCAGTGTTCTGCATCAAGTCTTCCTCAGCTGCTGCTTTTCTGGGAAGGGACTGTGACTTTTCCAGGAGAGGTGGTTGTCTGTCTTGTACTGCAAGTGAAATCTGTGGCTTTGAAAGATGGCAGAAGAACAGAGTGAGGCAAGGCAAAGCAACCATGTGGATTTAAGTGTGTTCCACCAGCTTGTCCACATAACCAGGTCCCGGCAGGTGCTGCGTGCTGTGAAGGGCTGGTTCGTGTTTTGGATGCTTATACCTGAAGTGGGGGAGCTCTGGCTCTTTGCCCTGAGCACAGCTCCTGTGGTTCACAGGGGTTCATGGAATGAGCTGGACAAGGGATGTTCCTTAGAGCTGCAGATCAGCCGGGTGATTTCTCTGCTCCTTGTGTGAGGTCTTTCCAAGAACAAAAAAGGGTTGTTAGGCATATGAAGACTCTTCTGCAGACTCCACACTGCAAACCTACTGAAAACCCAGTCTGTTGGTGGAGTCCTCCTATCTTCTGCCTTTTGAACAATTGCCAATCATCTGTAATGAATCCGGTCGGTAATGCTGTAATTTTGTTTTGCGTGGGATTTGAGCTTCAGGAAGGTGTTCACTGTGCCTGTCTTCTGTGGAGCAGAGCTTAAGAAAGGCTGAGCTGCTAGAAAGGATCTGTGAATGGCACTGTTCTGGTCCATGTCCTGCCCGGTCACAGGGTGTTTGAAGCTGCCCTGGTCAACCGCAGAGATGGGTTTGTTACTGTTGGCCTTAGCATCCAGTTTTGAGAAGGATTTCTGTGGAGGAAGACTTGCTCCTGGTGTGGTGTTGGCGTATTGTGAGCAGACTGATGTTACCTGTTCAGGTCACGTTTGCTAAGCGCTTGGCTCCTGAAGACGTGGAACTGCCAGACAGCGCCGAGCTCCACTTGCTTCTCTCCCCCAACGCGCGTCAGTTGTGAAGTACCTGCTACACAGAAGCCTGGAAAAGAACTCTGTGGGTTGAAACAAAAACGTGATAATTGTAATCCATTTCCATAGTTCAAGATGATTAATTTAATGTGCTTGGTATCGTTACACTGTGGTGGGAACTCTGAAGAATCCTCCGGGGCCTGTGGACAGAACACTTGATCCCAGTGCCTTGCTGAGGAACAGCTTGCGTGTTGATGGTTGCCTGAAGGTGTGGCCTGTGGATTCCGATCATTCTTTCTGCTAGTGAATGGCACAAATAGGTGTGGTATTTATACCCGAAATTTTGCTGAATGCCTGTAATATTTTATGCAAATACTTTACTAATGAAATGGAAGTGCTCCTGCAAAGCTTCATGACGCAGATTGTCCATCAGTTGATGGAGCGAGCTTACAGATGAGTCGTGTTCTGCCCCCGAAGGGCGTGCTCTCAGCCAAGACAGGACTGGCAACCCACGGAGCTGTCCTCTTCCTTGGGGGGCGCCTGACCCTCACCCAGCAGCCGAGCCCCGAGAGGCTGTGTACTAATGAAATGGAAGTGCTCCTGCAAAGCTTCATGACGCAGATTGTCCATCAGTTGATGGAGCGAGCTTACAGATGAGTCGTGTTCTGCCCCCGAAGGGCGTGCTCTCAGCCAAGACAGGACTGGCAACCCACGGAGCTGTCCTCTTCCTTGGGGGGCGCCTGACCCTCACCCAGCAGCCGAGCCCCGAGAGGCTGTGAAGCGCCTGTGCCCTGCTCTGTCAGCCTGGTGGTGAATGTGGATGGTTGCTGTTTGATGAAGCTTCCCGTGGCCACCTGTGAGCTCTGCTGGGGCGTGGCAAAGGTCCCGAATTGCTGCAGAACTCACGCTTACTGCACCTGAGGAGGGGGGTAGAGGAAGTGGGACCCAGCCCTGGTTTGGGTGGTTGGACGCTAGCTGTTTGCAGGGCTGAGGCAGTCGGTCACGTGTGTTGTATTCTCTACCTGGTTTGTAGCTGTAACTGTGATGTACAGATAAAAGCAAAAAAAACCAACAAAAAAAAACCACCCCCCCCAACCCAACCAGAACACCCCCCAGGAACACCACACAACCACCTCCCCTGCTCCAAGAACTCGTGAAAACAGAAGCAAATGATGCAATGACACAAGACACACACTTTTGTATTTTTATTCTTCTGAGGTTCTTTGCTGGCTCTCGGTGGCCTCTAGTTCCGTCTGTGTTATTTAAATTCTAATATATGAATTATTTGGATTGAATTCATGTTCGGGGCCATGGTGTTGTATGTATTGATGTACAGCCTTGAATGTGAATAATTATTGTAAACTATATTTTACACCTTTTTTCTGGCTTTATTATATAAATTTTCTATCGGTCGATGATTTAATCATATCTCATAATTTAATGACTGTTTGTTCTCCTCGCGGCAGATCTCTGTGCTGTAGGTGCGTAGGTAGTGACG